AAAGATAAATTGAAAGTTTATTATATCAGTTTTTTAACATTAATGATTTATTATTATAAGTAAAAAATGAAAATTAAAATGCATTTTTTTATTCATGTTGTAAAATGACCGTAACCTTTTATGTAGATAATGCGCATAACATCATTTTATTCAAATTATATGTTCATCATTTATAATAAATATATAATTCAATTACTAAAATATTTTATATGATAAGATTTCAATAAGAACATTATTGTTTAATTGTTAAATCGATTGTTTTATTATAATTTAAAAATTCATCACTTCATAGAATTGGTAACTATTCTATTATAACAAACACATATTGTACAATGAAAATCATTTGAACATGGTTATATTATTTAATTTTTGTAATTTTTTATCTTATAGTGTGTTAATTTGATATGTAAAAATTGTTAATAACATTAAAAATGTTAAATTAAATTGTCGTTGAATAATATGCAAAATTTCACTGTGTTAATTTTGCATATTACAAATTACAAGAATATTCAATAAATAATTATATAATGTTAATTTATTTTTTTTGTTAAATAAATTAAATTATGAGTCTGTTAATTTGACAAGAAAAATCGATAAATATTTTAAAATGTTAATTGTTTTTTTGTTAATTAATTTTATTTTTTGTGTGTTAATAACAATAGAAAAGTGTGTTAATAATATTTAAATATTAATTTTATCTTTTAGTTAATTTAAATTCTGTTATTATTGTGCTAATAAAACATAAAAAATCGATAAATATTTACAAATTGTTAATTTATCATAAACAATTTGATAAAATTTATTGAATTTTCTGGAATCACAATTCAATATACCTAATGTCCCGTCTATTTGCGTCTTTAAAAAAATAACTTTACCAAAAATGATTGTTTTGCCGCAAAAAACAGCCTCTTCAGTTTTTTATGAAAAGCAATTTTTTTCCGAAACACGACTAAAACAAAAAAATATATGATGGCAAAAATTACCAATTATATTGTCTGACCTATTATATAAACTTATCAAAATAAAAATTAATGAGAAAGAAAATTTTTACTAGTAAATTTTTAACTTTCAGATATTAACAACTGATAGTTTAAACCTTTGAATTTATATAATAATAAAACAATTAAATATTGTTTAGAACATTTTAAACTAAATGACAAAAACAACCACATGTTTATTCTATACGAACATACAAACATACAACACAAAATTGTTTTATTAATCATAAATATATTTAAAAAACGAATATTTAGACCGACTGATTTATTATTAGAAAACAAACAAAACTTTTGTTCGAAAGATTATTATAAAACAATAAAATATCTGTTTTTTGTGAAACAATAATAATAAAGCACAAATGTATTAATTTATTTAGATAATCGGATATAGCTCTTTTTAAATTCTTTGCTAGAAAGGTTAATAACTCCTTGTATTCAAACACCAACAGAATGATACAAGCGATATACCAAATTTGTAATTTTTGTGAAACTAGCTAAAAGACGGTAAATACGTCGATATATTCTTTGGCCGAGACAATTATGGCAATGAATAAGACACAGCAGAGTGAATAAACAAAATCAATTTGATTAAAAAGATTGGTAATTTGGTTTTATGGTATGGTTTCAAAAATTATAAATTTATAATAAATAAACCATTTTAATGTTATATCATTCAGAAAAATATATATTGAAATTGAAGTGTTTTCTTGTTTTTCATTCAAAATACCACTTGACATGTTTGCCATATTTTTCCAAGTGCCCATTCTCATTTATTATCAAACTCTTTATTTCATTGGGCAGTATTTAAATCCATTTGTTTCTTCGCTAATAATACACTCTTAATATTGTGTTGGTGTTGTATGAGAACTTTAAAACCACTGATAAAAATATTAAAAATGGGTAAATTAGGACTACGATTAAAAAGTGGTGTTAGTATGTAAAAAAACATTATTAATACTAAGAATAATTATTAATAAAAACAATATATATTATTTTTAATTTATTTTAATTGCTAAATAAACAATTTAAGTAAAAGAAAGAAATACAATTTGAAATATCAAAGCTATTCCAATTAAAAATAAATTTTACACAAAGTTAACACTGTATAATGTAGAGTTTATTTGTAAGTCTTTTATCACACACTCACATTAAATTATTAATGTTTTTTCATTTCATTGAATACATCACACTCTTTATCAAACTAAACTGTGTTTACTTGGTGGACTTTACGAGTTATGCTAATACTCCAAAATATTCGAGATATTTAATACCAACAACAACATGTTAATTATTGTTACATTAGACTTTGTGAGTATCAGTATTTAATCCCCAAAATGTTTTCAATCATTGACATTGGCGCAACACTATGTCTGAAATTTGTTTGTAGTTTATTTTGCACACTTGAAGAAACATTCTCGAGCCTCAAAATGATTACCAAATTCATTTCAAAAAACTCTTAAAATATTTATAATATTTTGACTATCTGTAAATCCATTCTATCATCAAAATGAAGTGCCATTTTAAATGGTAACATTGTTATTCAAATCTCTCCACACTCATTAATTGACAAATGTTGTGTGTCGGACAATTGCATTGTATCAAAAATTTCATTGATCTCAATGGAATAACTCGATAACATGGAATATCCAAATGGTGTGTTGGTGCCCACAAATTTGATGACTAACAAAACGTCAACAAGTCAAAAAATACAACTTTTTGTATTGTTTCAAATCATCGTGCAATTTCAGACATAATATGTACTTGACTTTACTTGACCTGACAATTGTTAACTTGTGTGGACGTTGTTTTGAAGTGATGATGTTGAAGACCATGTAAAAATTTTCAAATTGTGTTATGCTGTTTATGTATTTTGCTTTGTACGTCTTGTGTACTACAACTTTTGAATATCATAATTCCATTGTTATAATGGAAACTTGTAGAAACTCTAAGATGGAGACTGAATTGATTACTTTGTTGATTTGTTTTTAGATTTTAAATTTTGTTTCTTTTGCATCTTTGATCTCAGTGTCATTGTTTATCGCCATCTCATTCTTCGTTTGAAAGCGCAAAGAAAAATAGTACTCATTTTAATTATTTTTATACAATTTAAGGGACTTATCATTTTGTTCCACGACTTTTTTCAAAATGTTCTTAAGGTGGTTGTGATACCAATAACATCACGTCGAAGTTGTGGTTAATACAAACTTTGTTTTTTCTTCTAATGATAAGACTTGTGCCATAAAACGGCAACTCGGATCAATTCAATTCCAAGTAAAAGTGATTGCTTAACCAAATGCCCAGAATCCTCTCCAATGTTGTTAGTGAAGAACAATGATGTTTTAAGAAGTTCATATGGATCTAACTGTGTCACTTGAATTAAATTTTACTCATATAAAAAATACTCTTAGATGCTAATTGCCAATGAAAGTCAATATGTATATTCTAACATGGTAAGCAGACGACTTTACCAAAATACACACAAAGATTTGTAAAATAAGAACATGTTGATTGTCACTTGTAGGTGTGTGGATATCATAGAATATTCTTATAAAATACAAAGAGAAATGAATACATAAACTACTTCAAACTTAACGTATCAAATGAAACCGTCAGCTATCTTAAGGTGTTTGGGAAGGTTTGTAATTATTTCGCCAATATAGACTAGTTTACAACAACTTAAATAACAGCGTTAAGGAGTTTTCCAAAAGTCTACTTTGTATTGCCAACTTTTTTATATATTAATTGGACCACTTTAAAAAACATATAAGCTCAACTTTGTTAACAAAAATGTTTTGTTTTTTGTATTGTACTACTAATAATAATAATATAAGATCTGTTGTTTGTTTCGTAATAAAACAAATTACATTTTTTTCGCAATACAAGTTTTATTCTCCCTATTAATATATCCTTGAAAGATTCATTTAAAGATTTATAATCACTCATTTGAATATACAAGTTTTTTAAAGTAATAGTTTGTTGAGGATAATTGTTCTGATGTCTCGGTATTTTGTTTTTTTTTCAAATTTAATTTAAATAACTAACTTTAATACTTAAATTGGTTTCATTGTAATTTATCAATGTAAATACATAAAGCAATTTTTGGAAACATCATTATCAATCGAGTTGCCAACAAGGTGTTCCAACACAATCAATTGTACTTGATCAAACATTAAATTTTTGTTTTTTGAGCTTAAGTTGAGTATTTTCAACAGCTTCTGCCATACCAAAAACACTTTGAGTTCACCTTATGTTCTTTGATTGATTTTTCAGTATAATTTTATATCGTATTTGTACACTCATTAATCAAATATAAAACTATCTAAAGTTTTGAAACATTTACAACATAACAACAGTCAAATTAACTTTGTTGTAGAACTCTTTAAAAGGTGAAAAAAAATCTTGCACAAAGCAACCCCCTAACTTTTTTTATTGGAAATATTTGATTGCTTAAATTGTCATTTTTATCAAATTATCTTATTAAATTCTATTTATAGAAAACTTGGGGTACTTGTTATGGCTGTACAAACTAAAGGTTTATTTTCTTTCACTCCTATTTCAAAATAATTTTTCATATAAAAATTATACAATTAATATTATTGATTAATTAACTATTATGTATAATTTATTGTTATTCAAATTATTAATTACTATAAATTAAGTATATGTAATAAATATGAACAATAAAATACTAAATATTAATTAAAAATTGTAATAAATATCTTTTTGTATTAATTATTCAATTATTTAATATTATAATTAAATTATTCTATTATTAATTTGTGTTTTATTTATAGAACATTAAGGGGTCCTTGTCATTGCTGTACAAAATTCAAGCTAATTTTTTTCTTACTTGAAAAAATGAATATATTTCTACAATTAAAAATATCTCTATTTTCATATTCTTAATTAAAAACTAATATTTTTTGACTTTATATCACTTAATTCTATTATATTAACTTGTATTATTATTATTATTTGATGACGTGGTATATACTCACCATTTTACACAATCTTACATTTAAGTAATCTCTCTTCCCAGGAAGTGGGTGGGGGGCTGGCTTTAGGAGCCTCCACGTATACTTTGCCAAATTGAAGAAATTGATTAAATCAATTTCGTTAAATTATTTAATTGATTTATTCAATTATTTTTTATTTTTAATTTTTTAATAAAAATAAATATAAAAAATGAAATATCATTAAATCATCTCATTCGCTTCGATGAACTAATGTGTTTGATGGGAAAGAATCTTTACCAATATATTTGACACTTGATGGTATTGTAACACTTCTTAAACTACTGCATTCAATGAAACAATAATTACCAATTGATATCACCCTTGATGGTATTGTAACACTAGTTAGACTACCGCATTTACAGAAACAATAATCACTAATTGATGTCACACTCGATGGTATTGTAACACTTGTCAATTTTCTACAATTATTAAAACAATAACCACCAATTGATCTCACACTCGATGGTATTGTAATACTGCTCAGACTACTGCATCCACTGAAACAACAATAACCAATTGATGCGACACTTGATGATATTGTAACACTACCCAAACTACTGCATCCACTGAAACAACCTTCACCAATCGATGTCACACTCGATGGTATTGTAACACTACTCAAACTATTGCATTCATAAAAACATTGACAACCAATTGATATTACACTTGGTGGTATTGTAACACTGCTCAAACTGCTGCATCCACTGAAACAACATTTACCAATTGATGTGACACTTGATGGTATTATAACACTTGTTAGACTACTGCATTTATAGAAACAATATATACCAATATATTTGACACTTGATGGTATTGTAACACTGCTCAAATAACTGCATCCACTAAAACACCAATCATTAATTAATCTCACACTTGATGATATTGTAACACTTGTCAAACTACTGCATTCATAAAAACAATAATCACTAATTGATGTCACACTCGATGGTATTGTAACACTTGTCAATTTTCTACAATTATTAAAACAATAACCACCAATTGATCTCACACTCGATGGTATTGTAATACTGCTCAGACTACTGCATCCACTGAAACAACAATAACCAATTGATGCGACACTTGATGATATTGTAACACTACCCAAACTACTGCATCCACTGAAACACCAATCATTAATTAATCTCACACTTGATGGTATTGTAATACTGCTTAAATTACTGCATTCATAAAAACAATATTTACCAATTGATATTATACTTGATGGTATTGTAACACTTGTCAAACTACTGCATTCACCGAAACAACTACCACCAATTGATGTCACACTCGATGGTATTGTAATACTGCTCAAACTACTGCATCCACTGAAACATTTATCACCAATAGATGTCACACTTGATGGTATGTTGTTACCAAATTTCTTTCTATCATTTTTAGTGTAAGTGACATTTTTAAACTCAATGTTTCGATTTTTGTTTCTGTTAACAGTTTCAAAAACAACATTGAACCACACGATGATTCGATAAAACTCTTTCTTTAAAACAGTTTCATTTCCGCTATCTCCATTTTCTCTTCTGTTGATCGTAAATTCATTGCCAAAGTTCTCATCCTTTTTATTCCACAAGTGAAGTGTCTCGATGTTTGGAAAGTATCCAAGTGTTTTGGAATTTAACGGAATCGGGTTGAAGTGGAACTTCTCCATATTGCCACCAAACTTCTTGCATACCAACTCCAAGTTAATAAAGTCTTTGATAGTTTTGAGGTACTTCGAGACTATCATGATGTGATAACTAAAAAGTCCTCGCATTTTGATATTCTCAGTTTTTTAGTTTTTAAATATTTAAATTTTTTTTTGTAAACATTTTTAAGGAATTATTAAATTAAAGTCATTCACAGTTTCAAGCTATTAAAAAATATCGTAAAATATACTATTATTAAACAAAAAAATTAATAAATTTTATATAATACATTTTTTAAAGATTTAAAATCGTTTAGATAATAAAAAACAATTCACACTGAATGATATTAATTGTGTTTGTTTTAAAATAATTCAATATAACTTTTGTTCTTTACCAAAATATTATTAAAATGACAATTAATAAATTATTAAAATTCAATCAAAACCAGACCAAATATTTTTTATTATAAAGACCAGTGAAATACATTCACGAGTCTACGTGAGATTGTTAAAATAATAACAATAAATATACAATTTGTACGTTAAATATTAACTTTGTTCAAAAACAAAAATTGTACTTTTTGACAATTAAAATCCATAACCAATTTCATCAATTACCCATGAAAATGGTTGATTGGAATTAAAAAAAATGATGAATTTATACTTTTTTCAAAACTGTTGTGTTAACTTGTTTTGTAATATAATAACTAAAATATATAAAGTTGATATTTCTCACAATAATTAAAATATTTGAATAATAAACTTTTGATTAATAGTTTTGTTGTTAGAAATGAGTTGCAAACTTGTAGGACATAGATCACTCTTCGGACAATGGTTTGAAGAATGATAAATAAAAATTTTTACCATCATGCCAACCGTATGAATATGATATTAGATTACTATTTACTAAAAAGAACTCAACATAAATTTAAAACCAATATAAATAATAATATTTGGTTTACTTATCTATTCATTTTTAACTTTATCTCGAATTAAAAATGAAAATATTGAAGTTTCAAGACAAATTTAAAACAAAAAACAACAGTTATTACTAACTCTCATACATATAACACAAACGATAAACACTAAAACTGTATAACTTAATGATGGTATTAATAGACTACAATACTCTGAAAACCCCCAATGTTTTTAAACAAATTATTAAATAACAATTAAATAATAATTACACAAACCAAACCCGTCAGTTACTTGTGATTTGTTACTTGACAATTAATTACATTGAAATTGATAAATAAATAATACATGCAAAAACTTGAAAATATTAATAACTTTCAAATATTTCTCTCGAAAAATCAACTTTTTTGCTTTTTTATTGCTTTTTATTATATTTTGACATGTAGTCACTTCAATCAAAAATTGATTACCACAAAACACGCATCAACTAAACACAGAAAATAACTCTTTTAAAATATCAATTGAATTTGTTGTAATAAATTAAGCTTTTGAATCTGTAACTTTAGCTCCAAGTCATTGACTTTCTTAACTCATGTTTTATTGTTCTTTTATTCCGAGTTTTTTCTGTAAATCAACCTTTTGAGCGGTCAACAAGTTAACAAACTTCTCAACTTGTTTTTAATATTACCAAATACTATTTCATTTACAATCACTTTTTGGAGTTTATTTGCACGTTTTTTCTTCTTAACTTTGGTTTGTTGGGCGGTGATTTTTTTCAAGAATAAGTTGCTCATTCAATGGCAAAATATTCAATTTGGTCACAAATTACACCCCATCTTGATTAATGAACCTGGTGTTGGCAAGACAGCATTTATTGTGTAAAGTTTGGGGCAGCGAGTAGTAAAAGGATTGTTCCTTCAAACTTGCATTGCAATTATAATGGGCGCACTTATTGTTGGTAGCACTACAGAAGACTGTTTGAGAAGTGATTGAAATCTGTTTTGGAATAGGTGAAAGAGTTGAAGATACCAATCATTCTTATTATAAAAAAATCACACTGTTTTGTGTGCCGGTGCAACAGAAAAGTGTTACTTCATTACAACATACGACATCGATGTTGTCATGAAGTAATTAGTGGTGCATTCGAAAGAAACCTTGAATTTAAAAGGCGATTCTAACATGTCTACGTCTCCGAGCAAAATAAACACAATGTAATTTTGAGAGGCATCAGAGAGAAGTATGGGCCACTCTTTGTTGACAATCATTGACTCAGCTCTTGTTGCAGCGAAGAGCTCAAAGTGTTTGCACATAAAATAGAAGACATAAAACACAAGGCTGAGATAATAAGAGAACTTGAGATTGCGCAGATATGAAGTATTATGATGTAAACAACAACGTCAAAATAGACACGAGTGAATACATGGATTCTCATAACGTTTTACGACCGATTGGAACGCCACTGATATATCGTGGACACAACAATGGTTAACAATTGACAGAATAAGTCAGAAGAAGACGCGCAACATGGTTGTTCTGTTTGATGAAGTCAAAAAGGCGCACCAGTAGGTGTTTAATGTGTTGCAGATGTTTGATGATATGCGTCTCACAGATAGAACAGGAAAACAGTCGACTTGAAGCACATAGTCGACTTCTTCTCGTACATGTTTTTTGGCTGTTCATAAGTATTGGCAACTTGTTCAAATGCCTTCAAATTTGTTTTATTTTAAACATATCGTTTTCAAATAGTTGTTGCTTTCATCTCATTTTAATAGAGTTTAATTTTTGTTTTTTAACTCTTTTGATGTAATCTTATTGTGTCTTATATTTTTGTCTTTTTTGTCCAACAAATTGGAAGTTCTACTCAATAGTTTCAGTTCATACTGTAATATTAGCAATATTCTTCTCAATTTATTTGATTTGTTGGTTTTTTGAGTTATATTTTTTCTTTTGATCAATTTAAGTTTTAACTGTTTTAATTTTGTCTCGATATTTATGTTTCATTGTTTAAGTTTTTATCATCATTATTAAAGTCAATTTTATTCTAAACATGTTGACTTCAGCATTCAAATCATTGCTATTCTTGTTCATTTCTTAAAAAATCATGTCATTCTTCTTCTCAGCAGTTGGTTAATAAGAATAAACCATCAAATCATTCAGTTATTCTTTTATGTTGTCTGAAATGAATTCACTATTTGTAATTTGTTTTCAGTAACATTTTAAACATTATCTATCTTGTCAGATTTCCGTCTTTCTACACCAAATTGTGACCAAATTTCAATAACTCCAATATTCGACAAGTTATTTTTTTGAAAAATGAAACTAGTGCATCGGCTTGAAGTTTAATTGATGAAACCATGTCTTGGGTGTTTCGATTTGGTCTCATATCTTCTTTCTTTTGTTAAATTGGTCAGCAAGAGTGTTTTCGGCTCCAGCGCTATCTTTACAAATCATGTTTGAGAACTTAATAAAGTTGGCCACAATCATTTTAGAGTCTTTCTTTTCAACTATAAAGAGTTTTATCATTAGCAAAATTATTCGATTTTTCTTGATTTTTAGTTTTTTCTATTTTGCAGTTTTTTTCGTTTTTTTAACTATTTCAAGTTCTTCATTGGTTTTGGCAATTTCCAGTTCTCTTCTGGTCTCAATACAAGTGAGTTCGTCGGTTTTAGCACTCAACTTCAGAACGATACCATTGCTTGAATTAACAGGGTAGTAGTGTTTCTTTTTGACACACAGAATATGTTATGTTAAATTTACAACAATCAACATGCATTCTTTTTAAACAATTGAAGTATTGATGAAATTGGTCTAGTACAAGAATGACTCACCAAGTGAGTTTTAACTTCTCTATAACTTCGCCAACTTTATTGTTAAGCGCGCCTTTTGTCTTTCTGAGTTTTTTAATTTGATATCAATAATGGATTCAGATTTGGTGCAATTATCATTATTGATATTAGAAGGTATTAATCGTTTCTCACTATTTTTTTTCTTTTTTGGTATTTACCTCGTGTTTGTAATTAAAACGAGTTTCATTGTTTCTTCAATTTTTTCAATTCATAATATAATAGTTTTATTATAATAATTATTTATAACAATAATCAGCAATGCTGCAAACATCAATTGAATATTAGTTTTTTAAAAACTAATATTTTATCTTTTTGGAAACAATATATAATCCTATTCACAAAAGTTTTTTGTTCAATTGAAAGGGAAAAATCATAAAAAATAAAAAATGCTGTTTTAGTAATGTTTTTGAATAATATATTCAAGACTGCACTTTATTTGGTCCTTCAAATAATAAGACCAAAAGTGTATTAAAACACAAATTATTACCAGAAAAAACAAATAAAATAATATAAATGTTTAAACCAAAAAAATAAGAAACAAATTATAGAAAAGGTGTATTTGTTGATAAACATAAATTAATTATAGGAAAATGTCATTAAATTGAAGTAAAATAAAAATGTTGTCATCGCATTTTATGTTAAAACATGATATATAATTTAACTTGTTCAAATCTAAGAGTAATCTCTGTTTCATTGTATTTATTAAATATAAAACGGTGTACAAAAACACAAAAAGAGTTTTTATAAACTGTTTTTTAAAACTCTGTACTGGGACACCCCATTTTATTGGACTTATTATTCCCAAATTATTTTTTCTTTGCTTAACCCTCATTTTATGTTCAAAATATTTACTCGAAAAAATCAAAATAACGAACCTGAATTTTTTAAATTTTACTTGACAAATAAATCTTGCACCAAAATTTACTTGAAAAATAAAAAACAAACTTGCAATTAAAATTTTGTTTACCACAACGCAAATTTTGCCAAAAAACGAAAAACAACTTTATAATTTAATGTCCATGTTTATAATATCACAAAGTTGTGTTTCAGATAAAAATGAAAAGTATAATAAGAAAACTCGCATAAAAATATCATTATAGACAAGACGATTGATTTAATGTTTTTTACTGTTCATTTGATAATATTCTGTAATAATTAGTCAACTTGATTGTTTAAATGTTTGTTTTATGTAATCGATTTATTTTTTAATTGTTAAAATAAATAGAAAATGATTATTAGTTAAAGTGATGTAACATTTTATTCAGTTGTGTCCTTTATTGCATCATTTGTTTTTTGTTATATTGTCGTTTATTTTTTGTTTGTTTGAAAAAAAGAATTTTACTGAAGTTTAGTTACAAAATGAATCAC